CTCAATGAAAAATTAAATTTTCAGGAAAAAATATCTCTTGAAAATATTTGTGGTTTTCGAAATTTTCAGATTTTACTGTGAAAAAAACCGACAACTTCGTCCCCCAGTCAATAATTCGAGACCCATCCCAGTCCCACCGAGCCCAGTATCCAATTGATGCTCAAATTATCATAATTCTGCAATCCATCTTTTTAATTGAGTGATATCGCCTCAAAACAAACCGACAAAAATGTCTCTTAACATCCCTGGTTGCTAAAATATTTTCAAAATATCAAGCAAATTTGTTTAGAAATTTCGTCATTAAATTGTTCTTCCCAATTATCGATTCATCTCGTTAAAGTGTAATCCCAGAAAAAATGTCAGAGGACATTTTCAATGAGAAATTAAATTTTCAGGAAAAAATATCTCTTGAAAATATTCGTGGTTTTCGAAATTTTTAGACTTTACTGTGAAAAAAACCCACAATTTTGTACCCCAGTCAATAATTCGAGACCCATCCCAGTCCCACTAACCTAGTATCCAACTGGTGTTCAAATTATCATAAGTCTGCATTCTATTCCTGGTGCTCCTCCTGACCCCAGGCTGTGTCCTCATGACCCTGTGTGTAGATCTACCACTGAGTCTCCTGGGCCTCGCGCTGAAGATGTCCTCGTCCGAGTCCATCGAGTCCATAGCTGCGTTACCATCAGACATTTTGTTCTGTTCGCCCAAAGAGAAAATCAATTGCCCATTCCCACCGTAAAAATCATCCCCCACCCATCGAATAAAAAATCCCCAATTGAATGAAAATAAAAAAGAACCCGATTCACTTCATACATTTGTCACTTACCTCAGAGCATTGACATAATCCTCAAGCAGTCCTTAATGCGAAATTCTCCGATCGATTTTACATAACATTTATATCACCACCAGAACAACGAATTCTCGCGATAATGAACCCCAGGAGAGTGAAAATCTCTCCTCATTTTACGGGAAAAATCGTGGGATTGAGTGTCCAGGAGACGAAATTACCCAACACCTTCAGCAACTTGAGTCCATTTCCGACTCGAGTGGATAGACGAATGAGAGAGTGATGAGTGAGTCTAGTTAGGCCGTTCGACGTGGGAATTGTCGTACAAAATGACGGATCTGTGGAAATTGACCAGTGGGCGAAGACTGAAGGGGTTCAGCGATGATTTTCACGTCAATTTGCTAATTCCAGGGAAACAAAACACTTTTGGTGGGTCGTTCGCCCGTTTTACCCCCCTCAGTTCATCACACAACGAAATCGTTGGTTTACTCTCTCTCTCGTCGAGACCTGAACATAGCCGTGGGTGCAAACTAGTGGTGGCTCCCTGCGCTGGGTTGCGGCGATCTGCATTATCGATCTTTTTGAAAAAATTATTTTGGATTGACCTCGGGAAGTGTTAAATTATTTCGGTAATTGAGGGTTTCAGGAGGAAGTGTTGAAGAACATTTTTTGTTGGGAATTTCATAATGTCCAGGTATTTTTTATGATGTTTTCTTTTTTATTATTTAATCAGGAGATAATTGCGAAATTCATCGGGCACAACTTCCTTTTGATTTTTTATAGTGAATTATCGTGTTAATGAGGCAGTTCAGAAAAAAATGCTAGAAAACATTTTTGTTGGAAATTTTATATTCTAGAAAAAATTCTAATGGCGTTTCTTTCTGAAAGCATTCATTTTCGAAATAACTGCAGCGTTAACCGGATATTACCTGGAGAGACTCTGCATATGGAGCTTCAATTGCTTTTACTCTTTAATACTTAATTCTCCCGATAAAGAGATAATTTAGCGGAAAACCTCAAAAGACATTTTTAGTTGGAAATTTAATAATCTACAAAAATGTTAAATGATGCTTTCTTCTAAAATGATTTGTTCTCCAGATATTGGCAAAATTGATCACGGACTCCGCACGTGTACCTTTACTTTATTACCTAGTTTGATACTCAATCATTTGCATAAAGAGATCATCCAGCAGAAAACTCTAAAGAACAATTACATTAGGAATGTCATACTGAACAAAAATCTCTCATGAATACAGCAGGACCTAGTAGTTCTTCTTCTTCTTTCCTTTATGGCTAGATCCTCTATTGGGAGGACCTAGTAATTCGCATACTTTTTTTTTGTACCGCCCGACCTGTTTGCATAATTCCCCTCTTACTCCTTCACCCCCTCCACTACTCGCTACTTCCCCGACGCTCGTCCTAATAAGCCAATCAGATGTCAGTAGTTAGTGGGACCAAGCGGGAGGATTGAGAACCGTCTTGAGTTAATAATATAATGTATTAAGGATGTTCGACACCCTTTTAGCCAAAATTGACGTTGTTTTCATTTTTCTGGCAAATTATCGATGGGAGTGACGTGAAAAAATATAACGATTTTGTGGTTTGTCATTCTTTAATGGCTCACGAAGTTGCGTAGTGGTGCGGTAATTTTCATGCGTTTTTTCTACAGTTTTGTGATTCTTTTTAAAAGTTTAGAGAAAACGCAGGAAAATGTTCGCACCACCTTAAAATTTCGTCAGTCATTAAATAATGACAAAACGCAAAAACGTTATATTTTTTCACGTCAATTCCATCATAAGTTTGCCAGAAAAATTTAAAAAACGTGAATTTTGGCAGAAAGGGTGTAGAACATCCCTGAACAAAGTAGGGTAAACAGGTCAATTTCTGAACGGGGGTTGGTTTCTGGACGATTTCAACTTGCATTGAATATTCCACAAATAAAATGAAAATTGTATTAATTATTTCACCTCTCTATAATATCCCTTTGTGTAATCATGTGATCAATTATTTTCTTATATTGCTCAACATTTAATAAATAAAAAAAAATATGACCCAATCGTTCAGAAATTGGGGGTTCGGCTACATTCAACTATTTCTCAATTTAATTATTCTTTGTTTTGTTATTTTCACTTAAACCAATTTTTTTTTGCTAATTAAAACATTCTTGAAGGCATGGAAGCCATCATATCCCCATTCAGGTGATTCTTTTATTTTAGATCCTACCACGAAACTCGAATTTCCTTTAACCGTCCAGCAATTGGCCTGGTCACCCTATTCACGTGTTCTATATTTATTAGATTCCAGTATTACAATTAATTATGTCATAAAATACTCTACTAATGACAACGATTGTAGTAGGACTAAAATTAAAATTGACATAACAAAATATAATTCAGGAATACATTGAGTTTGCGAGGACATCATTGAAGTATTTGTTGAGAATTTTTAGCTGCAGACAAATTTATTATTCATATGCTTAGACAAACTGGCACAAACATGGAGCGATAAAATCATTTATTAGGAAAAAGTTCAATAGCTTCAGAGTTTCTCGGATTCATTGGAACATTTCTCGTTATTCAATGCGGGGGGGGGGGGGCAGTGCCATCAGATTCAAGTGATTAATTACAGGAGGGGAAAGAGGGCTGCTTGCGAAAATCTAGAGCGTAAATACGCAAACAGTTAGGTCCTATGCGTTTTGAGCCGTGAAAAGGTCTCAATAACCTAACCTAACCCCCAACCTAGAACCCAGTCCCACCTGACTCCCTCTCGACGCACTTCAGACACGTCTGGTCCCAGATGTTAAATAAAAACAAGAGTTTGATTCCCCAACAAAGAATTCTCATCATTGTTTCTCCATTTCCCTCTCTCTACTCTCGTGATTATCTTCCCTGGCGATTTTTTAATCGATCAAGAATGACTGCCATCATCACTCGATGATTCGGCACATCCAGACAACTATCGATAAATAGCCATGAGTGAACGTAAACACGTACAGGTGAAAACAGAGATGAGAGATTCGTGTGCGTAATCGGTGAAAGTCGTGGCTTTTTTCAACCGGTGCTCATGTTCTAGGCTTTTTACGGGTGTTTCGAACGTTTAGAAGACGTTGAACTGGGGTTTTCAGTGGGGCATTGCCATTTCCAGTGAATTCAGCGGGTTTTTTAATGCTTGTGATATTTTTTTCTCTCCGGAAAATTGAGTTTTCGGGGGTTTGAGGGACTTGTGTTGACTATTTATTTTTTTCTTGGGGTTTTTGGAGGTTTATGAGGGGCTTCAGAGAGGGAGAATGTTCTCCACAGTGTCTGATGTCTTGAGGAATTTCGAGGAGATTATTGGTGAGTATTTTGGGGTTTTTTCGCGGTGTATCACTAGAAAACACTTTTTTTTTAAGAATGTTTATCCAGAATCGCAAGTACTTATAAAAATTGTTTTTTTTTAACTGAGAGATGAAGATATTGTCTTCACTTTGATACAAATTTCATTTCACCAACACATGTTCATTATTTAGAAATTATATAGACAAAATGCACCAAATGTATGCGATAACTTGCGCTTATATGGGATAGAATCATTCAAATATTTCCTCTTTTCGCCCGAGCACCCCAGAATTTTCTCTGGCCATTGGATTCAGTATGATTTTACACATTACCTTCTATGTTTATTTCTATTTTTAGTCTTCTAGTAGGTGAATTATCAGTTGGAACATAAATTTCATGAGAACCCGTGTATAAGGAAAAATTAGTTTATTCATTTCCGCTGAGACTATTGCGATTAATTTTTTTTAACGTTAGAAAAGTGAGTTTATATGTTCTGATGTCAGCCGAAAAAACCATGAAAAGAACACGTTTACCGACAATTTACCGACACTGGCTAAACATCCTTAAGATTGTTCCCATTTTTTTTCAGAAAATCAGTGACAACGGTTGATCTCAGTTCAATAAATCGTGTGATAAATAATGTATGGAGAATGGAGAAAAATGGACACTTTTGACTTTTTAAAAAATATTAATAACTTGGAAACCGCTCTACCAATTCAGTAGCAAAGTGGTAAAACGGTTCAAGTCGACTCATCTCCCAGCTGATTTTTTGAGGAATATTTCCGAATTTAAGGGAGATGGCGAAATTTTCGTACTTACATTTGTTGTATNGTGGGGCATTGCCATTTCCAGTGAATTCAGCGGGTTTTTTAATGCTTGTGATATTTTTTTCTCTCCGGAAAATTGAGTTTTCGGGGGTTTGAGGGACTTGTGTTGACTATTTATTTTTTTCTTGGGGTTTTTGGAGGTTTATGAGGGGCTTCAGAGAGGGAGAATGTTCTCCACAGTGTCTGATGTCTTGAGGAATTTCGAGGAGATTATTGGTGAGTATTTTGGGGTTTTTTCGCGGTGTATCACTAGAAAACACTTTTTTTTTAAGAATGTTTATCCAGAATCGCAAGTACTTATAAAAATTGTTTTTTTTTAACTGAGAGATGAAGATATTGTCTTCACTTTGATACAAATTTCATTTCACCAACACATGTTCATTATTTAGAAATTATATAGACAAAATGCACCAAATGTATGCGATAACTTGCGCTTATATGGGATAGAATCATTCAAATATTTCCTCTTTTCGCCCGAGCACCCCAGAATTTTCTCTGGCCATTGGATTCAGTATGATTTTACACATTACCTTCTATGTTTATTTCTATTTTTAGTCTTCTAGTAGGTGAATTATCAGTTGGAACATAAATTTCATGAGAACCCGTGTATAAGGAAAAATTAGTTTATTCATTTCCGCTGAGACTATTGCGATTAATTTTTTTTAACGTTAGAAAAGTGAGTTTATATGTTCTGATGTCAGCCGAAAAAACCATGAAAAGAACACGTTTACCGACAATTTACCGACACTGGCTAAACATCCTTAAGATTGTTCCCATTTTTTTTCAGAAAATCAGTGACAACGGTTGATCTCAGTTCAATAAATCGTGTGATAAATAATGTATGGAGAATGGAGAAAAATGGACACTTTTGACTTTTTAAAAAATATTAATAACTTGGAAACCGCTCTACCAATTCAGTAGCAAAGTGGTAAAACGGTTCAAGTCGACTCATCTCCCAGCTGATTTTTTGAGGAATATTTCCGAATTTAAGGGAGATGGCGAAATTTTCGTACTTACATTTGTTGTATCTCTCAATCGGGTCTACAAAAAAGGTTATAATAAAAATTTTGCTATCTCCCTTAGATTCCGAGATATTCATTGAAAACTGGTCAATAGTCAAAATTGACTTAGTCTTGGTTTATGACGAATGGGCGGAGGGGTACACTGAGAAATTTTTTTTTAAATGTATGTTTTTCCTAATACCAAGAAACTTGAGGCTTGAAAATTTTCAAGAACAAAATATCTTGCACTAAGAAAAAAAACTTTCATCAAGAAATTTTGTATTTGTCCTGAAGCCGAGGACATTTTCTCGATGGCAAGAAAGCCATTTCTCAAACCAAGTAAAATTGAATTAATTCATTCAAAAGTTTTTATTGTCACTTCTGAAATGTTTTAATGCAAAAACCACTTGAATTAATCTGAGAATTCGTTTTCTTGATATGAACCAATTGCCGTCATCTTTCGGGCAAGTAGAAAATTTCTTGTCGTACGATTTTTTTAAAAGTGAGATATTATGCGCTTGGTAATTTTCAAGTTATGAATTTCTTGATACAAGTAAAGATGTACTTCTCAAAAAACCCTAGTTTTCTCAGTGTACTTTCCATTGAAAAATAAATTATTCCATTTCATTGATAATTGAATAAGTCATTAACATTAAAAAAAAGTTAGAAGTGTCCATTTTACCCCACCCTCCCCTATATATATCTTTTGGTTTTTTGAATTTATTTTTCCTCGTGACACAACGTCTGAACTGGAGCTTATTCATTCTATTTTAAATAGGAGTAAAATACAAAATCAAATATAATTTTCAAATTTGTAATTCTGTATTCAACTTTAAATTCTTTCTTATTTTTGAAAATAATTTTTAATTTTAATTTTTAATTTTAATTTTAATAATTTTTTAAAAATAATTTTTGGGGAATTCTTGATTGATTTGGGATTTTGGACGACCTGCTGATTGATTTTGATTTCCTATTTGTGTTCGCAGTCGACCACATTGACGTAGATTTCACACTATGGCTCTCGTGGCTGCTCATGCCACTGCTAGTCACGTTTCTATTACCCGTTGTTATTCTCTTACTCCTGTACATGACTGCGTTGATATTCTACATTTACAAACTGCATAGGTGAGTTTTTGGAATTTCTCCTTATCTCTGGAACTAGTGAATTCAGGAGAAAATATGAAGAAAACTTTTAGTCGAAAATTTTCTCAGCTACGAAAAATGTTCTATAACATTTTTTCATGTTTTTTCACACATTCATTGGTAGTTTCTTAATTATCACCGTAACAACAAATTTTAGAGGAAAATGTCAGAAAAGCTTTCTCATAGCTAATGAAATCTCCCACGACAAAATGTCTTTTCACTTTTCTTCTCGAAATCGCTCATTAACTTGTTAATCGAGCAATAAACACGTGATGTTGTAAAGTGATTCTACATTAATTCAACGATCTGACGATTCTCTCGACATTCAATTTTTTCCAGCTTTTTTAACGATTTTTTAATGATAACTGAATGGCTTAGGAATCGAGAATCGAAGTAATTATTCAAGGAAAAACCTTGGAGTTCTTTTTTAACTGAAAATTTGCAGTTTTGTCTGGTTTTTAATACTTTCCTTCTACTCCTAGAAAACGATTGAGAGAAGCTTATGGCAAAGATTGGAAATCTGCAGCGAGAAGTGTTGTTGCTGCGATATGGGATGTTCATGGATATATTTATTACGGTAAATAATAAATCAATGATATTTTATTTATTTGGTCTAGACGTATATACTCTCGTTGTTTTGCATTTTGTTCTCTTCCCATTGCCCCATAAAATATACTCATGAATTTTGTATTCATGTTACATATTAGGGCGCTGTAAAACCGAATGGCGATTGGAGAACATTTCAGATTATTAAAATAAAAAACAAGCAGGGGGCCAAGCCTTTCTGTCAGAAGGCATGTGACCGTTACTTGATTTGTCTTTTTATTTGTTATTTGTCTTTTTCATTTTCTACCAATCGTCTCATCTCAATTTTTTCAAACATTATCGTGTTCACACCAATTTTATCACAAAAATAAAAAATGTCAATTACTGGGTGACTCGCAATAGTTAGCTAAGCTAGGTCTGATTCGATGGATATTATCATAAGGAGTATTTGGACGCCAAAAACGTGCATTTGATGCAGTAGTTTTCGAGATATTGAGAAAAGAAAAATCTTTCGGAATCGTATCTTAAAAACTACTGGACCGATTGAGCTGAAATTTTGCCCAAATATGCCCTCAAACAATACCAATTATGAGCCAAAATTTCAGATTTTTATCTATCACTTGACCCCATTTTTTGTTAAAATTTATGAAAAAATTCCCACTATTTTGTACGCACATACGGAGGTATATCCAGACAGGTTCTAAAAACATCATATATCCACGTTTCATGGCATTCTAAGTCATTTCCAAGCAAAATTAGAAAAAAGCATTCGAAAGCAACAACACCAAGTTCACATTCAAAAGATAATTGCAACATTCGAAAATATTTAACTCTTTTAGGATACGAAGTTGTTGGAATCGAGAACATTCCAATGGACTCGCCAGTATTATTCATCTACTATCACGGCGCTGTGCCCATAGATCTCTACTACTTCATAGCAAAAATTGTTCTACTCAACTCAAAAGTCATTCACACAGTGGCGGATAATTTTTTCTTCAAAGTCCCCGGCTTTGCCATCATCTGTCACGTCATGAAGATGATCCCAGGTACGATTCAAACGTGCTCAGCTATTCTGAAGGAGGGAAATATGCTGGCTATATCTCCTGGAGGTGTCTACGAGGCTCAGTTCGGTGATTCCTACTATCAATTACTGTGGAAGAATAGGCTGGGCTTCGCTAAGGTTGCACTCGATGCTAAAGTGGTACGTTCAGGCATTAATTGACTATTCAAATTAGGTCCTGAGCACTTCAATTATTTTCAATCTTTAAAAATTAATTGACTATTAGATTCAATTGAAAATGTTCAGCTTTTTCTCTAATGCTTTTTTCATTGTACAATCATAATTTTTGCAGACTCCAGGACTATGTAAAATTGAATGGCAATTGGAGAACATTTTAGATTATCAAAAAAAAAAACAAGTGGACAGTGGCATTTTTTTTTGTGATTATGGTTATTGATGCTAATAAATTAGCAACTTGCTTCCGAATGGATTCTCCTTTCTTAAATTCCTATTTCACTATTCTCTTTTCTCTATTTTTTCATGTCAATACTATTATCAATTGAAATGTCATCAAAATGTATTATTATTATTATTATTGTTGCTTATCGAAAATAAATCAGTGATATTAATTGGGAAATAATAGTTAATAATGGATAATCAAAAATTAATTAATTGCTAAATAAGTCCTCAATAAATATTGATCAATTAATCATCTTTTTTACAGTGTATCGTTCCAATATTCACTAAGAACGTGCGAGAGGCATTCAGAGCAATGAGTTGGGGTAGACGAATTTTCCTGAGGATGTACGCAGCCACGAAAATTCCATTTGCTCCACTCTACGGAGGCTTCCCCGTTAAACTTAAGACATACATTGGTAAACCTATTCCCTACGATAGTAGTCTGACGCCAGAAGAATTAAGGGACAACGTGGCGAGGGCCCTTGAAGACCTGATCAAGGAGCACCAGAGGGTCCCGGGGAGCATAATGAGGGCTTTAATCGAGAGATTCTACGATCCCTCGAGCTCGAAAGATCATCACTCGTAGTTTTGAAGATTAGAAGATTAGAAATTCCAGTGGAATGTCCATTATCTCCAGAGTTGAGTCATTATTCTTCATCAACTCTATTGAATGAAAGACGAACTTGTCATTTAGTTTAAGATTCAGGGATTTTAGGTGATTTTTTTTTGAGATGGCAATTTTTTTACACCCTATGAAGTTCATTTAATGAATTCCTCGCCTTCCTCATTGAATCTCAGAGACTTAATTCTTAATTAATGCCCTATTACACAGTATGAATAGAACAAATTAGTCCAATTTATTGAAAAGAGAACAATGAAATCGCAATACAGTGATTTTTAATTACATTCCTCAGTCGTTTAAAAATGGATTCCATAATTAGAAATTCATTTCACAAAGAAAGAGACATTAGGGAGTAAATTATTGATAAGTAGTTGTGAAGTCGCACAAAAGTCAGAAGAGATTTTTGCATGATGCAATGAGTATTTCCATAATTGTGCAATATTTTCAGCTATGGCAATGATCTTAAGAGGATTATGTATACATTTACGGTTACGTTATCTAGTAATAATACTAGGCTCAGATTCTGAGTGAATAGAAAAATTTATTTATTGATTTTATACATCGGAGTTTTTTTTTATTGTTGAGAATAAAATCATTCTCATTTTCTTTTCTTCGAATGACTTATTCACTGATTCCTTCTCCTATTTGTAAGTGAACAAATTAATGCATAATTACTAATACACGTTCGTGCACAAAACAAAGTTGTGCACGAAGTTTATTTGAAAATTCTATTAGTGTTTTGTGTTAGAATTCACTCAATTGAGAAGAGGTGCAGAAACACAGTGCAGATGAACCCAGAGATTTTTACCAATTTCTTTGGCAATTAGTGCCAATTGTAATTGTTCTAGTACACTGAGAGAGAAACGACAAAGTTCTCAAATAAATCTTACTTGTGCCAAGAAAATAGTTTTTTGAAAATTATCAAAAAAGGATTTCTTGTGCCAAACATGCTGAGAGTGCGCCGGAATGAAAAATTTTCGTCGCAAAAATAGATTTAGTAGTTCAAAAAAATTGCATTCTCTGTACACGCAAGGAATGTCATTTCTAGTACTACTCCTTCGTTATTCGAGTTTTTTGTTTCAGCTGTCTAATAATCACAGACCAGAAATGAACCCTTAAATGAAACAGTAATAATGATATGATAGCAATCTTATAACTTAAGGATAAAATATTTGTGGATAAATTTTCCTCTATATGAGATACGTTCATCCTGAAAAGGCACCGTCTGATGTGAATTATCCGCCTCTTGAGCCAAATATTTCGTTGCTGTCGAAAGCAGAACAATTATTCATGTTTGAGACTTTCAAATTCAAACCAAACAAATTTTTTTTTGGCAATTTTCAACTAGCGGTTTTGTTGGCCCAAGCAAGACTTGTTTGACAACGTGTTTGTTTTTCTCTCAGTGTAGTACTTGTCCGGTTCCTTTTGGCCCGCTGAAGGTTCAGTATTCTGGAGAGTTTGGGTTCCAATGTTCAATTTGTTTTTCTCTACACATATGTTAAAATTCGATTGAGTCGAACTGAATCATTTTACCGCTTCGCCACTGATATCATCGGTTGTCCGGCGTCTACCCAGTACTCAAAGTATTTCATTCGTCGTAGGAAAGAGAAAAAAGGCGCATCAGACGAATTTTCGAATCACCGCACCTCTTTATTACCTTTTACTCGGCATTCAGTAATTGCCCAAGACCTCGTGAACTAGATTGAAGGCATCACGTGCAACTGACGCATTAATCTGAAATGGTTTTGATGTTCATCCGATGAAATTGACTTTTCAATCTTAAAAATAGAAAATAATGGCTTTCTGGGGATCAGTTGGTTATCAGTCAAGAATATGGGGATTTGATATGATCGGACGAATTGAAACATTCGGAATATTGTTCAATGGAATTCCGATTCAGTAATCTCTGTCGAATGATTATTGAATGATTTTCTATAATCATCATTTTTATGGTCATGATTTTTACTCCAAAATCTTTATTATTTAAGGGCAACTGTGCAATTTATGCAAGTGTATTCAGTACCTCCGCTTTTTATTGATTATTTTATTCCGATCAAACAGTTTTTAATCACATAATTCCTCTTAGCTTCGAATATTTCGCAGTAGCTCTGCGATCGTCTTCAAACATTCAATTCAAACTATCGATTTATTTGATACAAATAGAAGATTATTCCATATTAATAAATTCGTATACAAAATCAGTCCATTTCTAATTTTTTCATATTCAAAAATTGTCCTTCTGACTTGAATTGAATAAAAACTTCCAATTCCAATCCATTTGATTTAATTATTCAATAAAATTCATTCTATGTGAATTAATCTACTAAACAATGGTTTATGCGATGAAGGATTTATTTGGGATTAATAAATAATTCATTTCACATAATTGATAAATTTTCATTAAAAGAATACATGAGTTTATTAATTTCAAGTCCAAATATTGTTGAAATGAACACAAAAATTTCAATTTAAGAATTTTATTTGCTTTAAATGTATAATTTTCTCTAAAAAATTCCTTTGATCTTTTAAAATTTCGCTAGAACTACTAGCTTCTAAGTTAATTTTTAAATAATCTGTTTTCAAAAAATTTTCCTTCTGACGTGAATTGAATAAAAACTTCCAATTTCAGTTTATTTGATTTAATTACTCAATAAAATTCATTCTATGTAAATTAATCTGCTAAACAATGGTTTATGCGATGAAGGATTTATTTGGGATTAATAAATAATTCATTTCACATCATTGATAAATTTTCATTAAAAGAATAGATGAGTTTATTAATTTCAAGCCCAAATATTATCGAAATGAACACAAACATTTCAAGTTAAGAGTTTTATTTGATTTAAATGTATAATTTTAAAATTTCGCTGGAACTACTAGCGTTTAAGTCAGTTTAAAAATAATCTGTTTTCAAAAAATTGTCCTTCTGACCTAAATTGAATAAAAACTTCCAATTCCAGTCCATTTGGCTTAATTACTCAATAAAATTAAATCTATTTAAATTAATCTTTTCTCGTATTGTAGAACAAACCACGACTTTTATTCCTCCTTCGACAAAAATTCATCCAATTCTCTCGCGTCATTCTGATATTGATACCCATTATCAAAATTCCTAATGAATCATTCCCCACTTCAATCGAAACCTCTCGCAAGCTTAAAATCATAAAGTGCGCTTGACATTGATGAATTTGGGTCTCTGCCATCGGCTGCATATTCAACTCTAAATAATGTGTGCAGCCTGAAGTTAACGAGAAAGTTTGGACATGCAGATTCTCTGTTAGAGGGTGGGAAATAAAATGAAAGGAATAGCTGAGCGCCGGTAACCACACCGGTGTGCAACAAGAACAGTCTGCGTTGAGCATTCGAGTTGAGCACTTGTGTACAATCACATCCCTTGAGTACCTGTGTTGAGTGTAATTAAAAGTGCGCCGGTTAAATTCCGCCCTTCATTCTCATTTGTGCGCAATAATTTTTTCGTGGTAGTGATTTGAAAAATAATTCATGGCTTTTCCAAGGAGAACGATAAATTAAAATGGTAATCAATTTTTTTTATTTAAAAAAGCAGAAAAAAATTAATATAAATTTATTCAACATCTGAGGAAAGAGTGAATTAACGAATTCCTGATTGAAATGAAATTGATCATTTGCAGAAACTTCATAGACGCCAATTTTGAATTCAGTAGCGAAGTGGTAAAACGGTACAAGTAAATTTTGACTATTGACCAGTTTTTAATAAATATGTCGAAATCTAAGGGAGATGGCAAAATTTTTATTATAACCTTTTTTGTAGAGCCGATTGAGAGCTACAACAAATGTAACTACGAGAATTTCGCTGTCTTCGTTAACTTCGGAAATATTCCTCAAAAACTCAATTGAGAGATAAGTCGACTTAAACCGCTTTTGAAAAATTTCATGTGAATAAAGGATTTATCAATGGATGAATTGCCCAAAAGAAATAATAAAATTGATATCAATTTTATTATTTAAATGAAACAATTCTTTTGTAATCAAGTTAAACGTTAAAAATTAAGCATTTTTATTTCATTTTTTTTAATCGAGAGTATCGGAAAATTTGAACGACGAATAGATAACTTGAACTTCATTTCTAGTGAAAAAAGAATTACATAATTTTTACCACATGAAATTTTTAGATATTGAGTAATATCAAACGATTTTACTGCATCACTGAAATAAAGAATTAGTTTCAAGTGGCAATGAAAAATACCATTCGAAAAAGTTTATTTGACGTTGGAAGAGAATAAATAATTCCTCCGGAAATGTAACAAATATTCTATCTGAAGTGCACATGTACTCAGGTTAAATAACATCTGTTTATTTATTCAACTCCGCACGAATTGGCAAATGCTTATTGGTCCAGTTGATGGCTTGATAGCTTCAGCCTGCGCCCGTATTTTCCGCCCTCATATTTTTTTCGTAAATTCTATTCAGAAAATCAACGCGATCTTTGTCTGATGATTATAAATTTTAGATTAAGTATAATGAGTATTTTCTGTATGGAGTTTTCATTGCAAAAATGAAAAAAGGTTTTTCGTGAATATTTTTTACGGAAAATTGTTTTTTTTCGGAAAATTAAATCTCGACGTTTTTTCGGATTTGCTATCAATTTGTGAATTATTATTTGTTATGTGGGAAGACCTTCGCCCGGAGAAATAGTTTATTCAAATTAAATAAACTTTATTTGAATGGAATAAATGGGTTTATTGGAATGAGTTGATGAAATTAATAGTTTTTAAGATATAAACAAATGTCTCCTTGATCCACATAAAGATTTTATTAGTTAGAAATGAAGTCATTGTTTAGATGGGGAGAAGAATGAATTTGACCCGTAATAATTCTATATCTGGATCTAAAAAATGATTTATGCGATGAAGTATTTATTTGGGATTAATAAATAATTTATTGGATATAATTGAAATTTTTTTATTAAAAGAATAGATGAGTTTATTAATTTCAAGCCCAAGTATTATTACAATGATCACAAAAATTTCAAGTTCAGAATTTTATTTGATTTAAATGTATATTTTTTTCTGAAAAATTCCTTTCACATTTTAAAATTTCACTAGGACTACTAGCTTCTGATTTAATTTTAAAATTATCTGTTTTCAAAAAATTGTCCTTCTGACGTAACTTGAATAAAAAGTTCTCAACAAAATCTTCCAAATTTTTCCTCAATCTTCTATCAAGTCCCACATTATCTCGGTAACGAGTGATTTTAATAGAGAATACAGAGGACATTGATCACAGAATATTAAATGGTCAACAAAAAAGTTCTTTGACAAATTTCTTTCAATCCAATAGTTTCAGAGATATTCCTTTAAAAAATGTTCACTTGATATTTCATTTCCTATAATTAAAACATCTTGATTCATTCAAATGAATTAATTTCAAACAAAAATATTGTTAAAATAAATTCCGTAGCGAAGTGGTCAAATGGTTCACGTCGATTTTGGCTATTGGCCAGTTTTCAATGAATATCTCGAGATCTAAGGGAGATAGCAAAATTTTTCTCATAACCTTTTTAGTAGCACTCCACTCGCTCTATAAAAAATGTTATTATGAAAATTTCGCTATCTCCCTTCAATTCGGAAATATTTCTGGAAAACTCAACTAACGACTAAATTCCCTTAAACCGTTTGACCTCTTCGCTACTAAATTTGTATTCAAATTTGAAATGAAGAGTTTAATTTGACTCAAATGCATAAAAAAATCCGGTAAAAAATTCCTCTGGCATTTTGCACTGAAGCAGATACTTTCCGCGACAATTAAAACCCAATCTGTTCACAATTTTTCCTCAATCTCCCAACAAATTCACGATTATCTCAATAACTAGTGATTTTAGCGGGAAACGTCAAAAGACATTTATCCCGAAAGATTAAATTCCCCATAGAAAAGTCCTCTGCCAATTTCCTCGCAATGCAGTAGTTTCGGAGATATTCACCAAAATCATGTTCACTCAATTTTTTATTAATACCTGAGAAAATAATTTTGTTTTCCTCTGACGTATTAACATTTCCAACTAATGACGAAACCCAAAAGATTACGGAAAAGATCATGGACATGGTATACTGAGCAGACAGTGTCAGTTCGGGGTCCCCGGTTATATTTATCAACGACGATGCAACTGGCGCAATTGCCAAACGCATTATTCGCCAAAGAAATATACAAGTCCACGAGTGACGACACAATTGTCACCTTTTCCCATTTTTTTCTGGTCCATTGGTTCTTCGGTTTCGTCTATTTTAAATATCCATCAATTTTATTGCGTTTTGAGGGGGGCACGCGGTTTTGGTGGAGGTGAATTTTTAAGGTCAGGTGGATGAAAACGGTCGGGAATTTGGCTGATCCGAATGACGGGAAATTTGTACTTCGATGCTTACGCCAAATTACCATTTCAGGCCTTCAGCTATTTCCGGATAAATGTGAATGTTTGGGGATTGAGAATTGTAGAATCTTGTGAATTTAGATTGAATCAAAGCTCAGATTGTCATTCTAAAACGAATAATCACTTGAAGAGTTGAATAATTAATTCATGAATTTTATCGTTATTTTTTCCCTCAAAAATAGTTGGGAAACAAAAAAAAATCCTCTGCACGCAAAAATCGATTATTATTGAGGAAATAAATTCAATCGCTTCGATGTTTATAGCTCTTTTTCATAAATTTTTGCGCAGTATGCAGAATTACTTTTAGCTAAAAATATATGCAAACAATTGTTTGTTTATAAAAACTCGTATTGAAAATAAAAAATACTGTAAACTACTAAATGCGAAATTTGATTTTCTCCTGGGCCTCTTCACTTCTGTGAGATAGTCTAAAATAGTCTGCAGGTGAAAAATTTAGTAGAAAACCTAGCGAATTCACTAGAAAATTCTATAGGAATTTTATAGGAATTCTATGGAGTTATAGGATTTCTATTGGAATTCTATTGAAAAAAATCTATTTGGTTTTCGCGCTGATTCTATTACTTATTCGATAAGAAAAAGTCAATGAATTTCGAATTTCTGTTCGAATTTTTCTCTTGAGATTTTCTCTACTAAAATTATTGGGTAAAAATTTTCTAAATTTTTTTCGCTGGATTTTGTTTTGTTTTCCATTGCAGAATCCGAGTGGAAAAGACTCAGAAAATTGATGCCAAGCATTCTTATACAAAAAATCTCAAGAGAAAATTTCAAACAGAAATTCGGAATCTATTGACTTTTGCTTATCGAATATCCAATAGAATCAGCGCAAAAAAGAAATAGAATTTTTCAATAGAATTCCAATAGAATTTTCTAGCGAATTCGCTAGGTTTTCTATTCAATTTTTCCATGAGTGACCTTTGTTTAATACTCGTCAAGCTCTAATGATTAAACATTAATAACATTAATAAACATTAATGTTAGGTAATATCAATTGACTATTTTGTGAGAAATTTCGTGAACGATAAGAAAAATCGTGTGAAAATTTCCGCCAAACCTAGCGAATTCATTAGACAATTCAATTTTTCTACATAACTTATTCTCTTTAGATATTTTCTATAGAATTTCCTGTGCTCAAATTTCCCAAGTTTGTTTTATTTCATTTTTCTTTTATCCTCATTAAGTGAATCAAACAAAAAAACTTATTTGGGCCGCGGAAATTCCATAGAAAATATCTCAACAGAATAAGTTGTACAGAAAAATCGAATTCTCTTGACTTTTTCCATAGAATATTTTCTTTTGAACATTTCAATAAAAATCCAATAGCATTGTCTAGCGAATTCGCTAGGATTTTTCTCCTAATTTTTTTCATCCGTGACATATACGAAATGATCGATATAATGGTATGGGAAACGAAACAGAAATAATTAACGATTTTCCTCATCATTTACATAAACATAACTAGAATAGAGTCGTTTTGTTACACCTCAACCTTTCGATTACTCATCCCTCACTATTTGCATAAAATATTTAAGGTGCATTGTACGAGCCCCGATAAAGTAACATTGTGACATTCGTCCACAGCGAATATAAACATATACAGTGAATCGAAAATCCATGACGAGAACAATATGACACTGGATGTATTGGTTTAAAACAGTCTGCATAAACTCGTAAACTCGACAATAGACGGGCATGAAAACCCCCATGTTCTTTTTTTCAAACGATACGATAAGCCTCCAAGTAGAGAATAGGGAGGAATAAAGAATCCTCACGATTGTGAAATACAGTGGAAGTAGGAATTGAGTCCAAAACTCATGTACTCATGATTTTGCGAGTATCTTGGAGAGGAAGAGAGCTGAGATAAAGAACCTACAGGGAAAGGAGCTCCGTGGTTTCTCTTCCTTGGCATTTTGTGATGTGCGAACATCTCGGCTGTCTTTATCGAAATTTTGTGGTAGCCAGGAAAAATCTTTTGTCACGAAAAACCCAACGGATGAGTGGGCTACACTGTTAGAAAATTATTCTTGTAATTTCTAGTGAAAAAGCTTGAAATTTTTAACAGCGACAAAGTTAGGGGAGGTTGGGGTAAAACGGACACTTGACTTTTTTAAAAATGTCAATGAGGGGTTGAAATGTTGATAAAATTTAATAATTTGTTTTCAATTTTTTTCAAAGAACAATTTCTTTCCTTTGTGACGAGTCTAAACTGAGCTCAATTGATCAATTTGTTTCGGAGTTATGAATAATTTTAAAAAAGTCTAGTGTCCGTTTTACCCCATCTGGTCACCAAACGCGACGGTGCGATTGGTCACCTCCGCGGGGATTCCCCGCCGTGTTATGTAGGCTCTAGCGTTGCCGAATTCACTCTACACTGCCCGGACGCGTTTAGCGAGTTTCCGGCAACGTCGCGTCATGGGCAATTTCATCTAAACATGGGAAAAAATAATTCATCTGTCCGAAATAATTTGTTTTCTTTAGGAATTTTGGGAAATATGTTGTTATAAAAACTGCTATAATTTTTAAGGCACTTCAAGTTGACAAAGTCAAATTTTTTTGAAGTTTTCCGTCTAGCTAGGCAATTGTAATTAAAAAAACGACGCGCGGCGGGTTTCCCTTATAGGGTGATCAATCTAGGGTTAACGTAAAGCTCCGGTGATCGGGAGAGTTTCCTGTGGTTTCCTATGCTACTCCTATGTTCTATAAGAGTGCGAATGCGGTTGTTGCATACAATTTTGAGTTCCCCATATTTTAGTTCAAGAAGCGAGTTCGCCTGTTATTGTTCTTTTTGAAGTCTTTTCTTGGTTCGTCTGTTGCAGATGAAAATCCAACTCTCCGGAGACTTCAAAATATTCCCGAACGATTTAACAATTACCTAATAGACAACTGAAGATAATGCCGCTATCAGAATGAGATGGAAATTGCGCTTCTATTGTTTGACGATGAAACATCGATACGAGGCATTGTATCGGGACTCAATGGAAAACAGTAATCTGGCAATTAGTAAAGATGACCGTGTCGTATCAGTACGAGGTCGCAAGCTCGACCAGCGGTGGATTCACTCGACTCCTGTTTATGTGGAGGGGCTCCCTCTACAAACTGATCTACAGGGAATTGCTGTTATTCTGTGTACTCTTCGGGGCTATTTCTGCTATCTATCGATATATTTTTAATGACACCTACAAGAGGTAGTAAATCATTCCCTCATGCTTGTCGTAACGAACTGGAAATTAGTTTTTCAAGTTTTATAGGGGAGGGTGTGCCTGTACCGCTCAGCGGGTAATACCGCTCACCCGATTTTCTCCACAACCATCAACTTGAAAATTTCTTTCTGTTCCTGATCATGAAGAATTTGATGATAGGATGTGATTGTCGGAAAAATTTCACTTTATTTACCACTTTAAATATGAAAAAACACGTAACGAAGTTTTGAGGTCTTTACAGTGCAAAATTTGTGGACTTGTAATTAAGGTTTTTGATAGTTTCAAACGCTGAATTCTCATATTAAACTGTGGTTATTCGATTCGCGGTACTTTCACGCGTAATTTGAGATCAACTCGAACTCAAAACTCCACTCATGTCAATAATTATCAACAATTCTGTTGACGCCGAGCGGAGCCGGTAATACCGCTCATAGAATCGGCCACGTAGTTGCTCGACAGCACTCGAGTACAGGTTAGTTTGCGGCGCGAGCGATACACGCAAAACCCTATGAGCGGCATTGGAATCGTGCCGAGCGGTATTACCCGACGGCGGGTAGTACCGCTTAATAGGCTCTCTCTTTTATTTTCAATCAATTTTGTGGGTTCTCAGGAGAATTAGGCGTCTACACTTCGAGAATAACGAGTTCGATACTTAAAGAAGTCTCACAAATACGTTTTTTATACTCAAGTTGAAATATAAAATATAAAACTGGCATTTCCCCTTAGGTGAGCGGTACAGGCACACCCTCCCCTAGTTACTTAACCCTCGAGTGGTCGCGCCTCTTCACCGAACGAGTCTGGTCGCGCGCTAAGCGCTGCGCAGTCCGTGTATTTTCGAGCGCGACGTTGCCAGAACGATTCTCCATCTGCCAGCTGGGAACAGCACGGGGGCTGGCAACGTCGCTCGTCAAATTTCTACTACGACTCTGGTTGCGCAACGAGCGCAGCGCCGATTTTCTCTGACCGCACTTCATTGAAAAATTAATAAAAAAAAGATTTGGTGGCCGCAGAACAATAAAACTGAATTCAAGGCCACGAGGACTAATTATTTGAGGAACTTCTAAATTGGAATTTCGTGATTATAGATATTTTTGCAGTTATCATGAAACAAATGAAAAGGACTGCGCTTTGCTCATAGCGCGACCACTCGAGGGTTAAACTTTGATGGAATTCATTAAAAAATTGAATCCAATTCAGTAGTGAAGTGGTAAAAGGAGAGAAGTCAATTTTGACTATTGACCAGTTTTCAATCAATATCTCGGAATCTAAGGAAGATGGCAAAATTTTTGTTATAACCTTGTTTATGGGGCCGATTGAGTGCTACAACAAATGTAATTACGAAATTTTCTCTATCTCTCTTAAATTCGGAAATATTCCTCCAAAAATCAACTGGGAGATAAGTCGACTTATCTCTGTTTACCACTTCATTACTGAATTATTTAATGATTCATCAAATTGGTTCCTTCTCGTATTTTCTTTTGTTCCACGGATGAAAAAAGGGAAGTATATTCATACTGCCAACGTTGGAGCCATTTTGACTGCCAACATTGGGGCTATGTTGGCTACCAACGCTGAGGCAATGTTGGTTACCAACGTTGGGGCAATGTTGAATTCAATGAATCATTAAATTAAAAATATATCGTTATAGAAATCCCATTGGAAAGCAAATTGCCAGTTTAGTAGCAAAAATCTGTTGACTAGGGGGGAGTCGGGCAAAATGGGACGTTTCGTGATCTCCTCCAATTGTCAATATCTTCACTTATAAATGAAGATATTGACAATTGGAAAAGATCTCAATACGTCCCATTTTCCCCGAACCTCTCCTATATTGTGAAAAAGGCAATTTCCCACTTATTTTAATTTGAATTCCAGGAAATTTGAATTGCTAGTAGTCTACTGTGACACCTTCATCAGTCTCATTCCTCTGAGTTTTGTCCTCGGTTTTTACGTTGCATACGTAGCAGCACGATGGTGGCAGCAGTACATGGCAATCCCCTGGCCAGACAAGTAAGCGTGTTCTATCACCATTTGTTCACATTAAGTCGTCGTAACAATTAACTGATAAAAGTGGAAGGTATATGCATTCCGTCTCTCGTGCTGTTCCTAATCGAATTGTCGCCATTAATTTTCTTTGGAGTTCTCCTTCTGAGAATTACACGTCCTATTCAGAGATTGCGGGATATCTTTACCTCACGCTGAAGAAGAGATGTAATCGAACGAAATCCTTGAACAGAGCTAGGGGATAGTAATCTCCTTTGCCTTTCACGTGGAATAACAAATGGAACATCCGTCTAATTGAAAAATGCATCTTCAGTTGAATATTGCAATACAGAAATAAAGTGAAAATGTCGAGTTGCGCAAAGTGAAGACTATCTCTTTAGAAGGAATGCAATTTCAAGAATTATCTCATTTTAGTAATTCTGTAGAATAGATAAATTCATCTCTTCATCGCTTTTTATTAGTTTTTGGCCGATTCATAATAAGCGATAGAATTCGATTTTATTTTACAATTTATTCTATTGAAATATTTTCTGTGGAAATTGCTCGACTCAATTTTTTACGTTTTCTTTCTTCATTCGTGAAATTGTTTCCTCTATTAAAAAATAGGTGGAACATTTTTGGTCAGCAATCTATTTCGCAATCAAGTTTATCTTCGCTTATGAATAAAAAATACTTTTTCATCACGCTGTGACGAAAAGTGAACTTTTCGGCACGCTCCGCGTGCCTAAAAGTCCAATTTCCGCCACATTGTGATGAAAAATATTGTTCGTAACTCGTGAAAAAATGTTTTTTAGCTCGTGGGATTATATCACTCGCCTTCGGCTCGTGATATAAACCTCCCACTCGCCAAAAAACACTTTTTTGCACTCGTTACGAAATATACTATTTTGTCTCTGCTGCTACGTTCTGCCCATGTCGAAAAGTGCCTTTCCGTTTACTAGTAAACGAAAAGTCGAAACTTGTAAACGAAAAATGGCACAGTTCGGCACTCGCTGAACGTAACATCACTAACAAAAAATCTAGTTCGGATACACGTGTGACGGGGTGTTTTTAACTCGTCGCACTTGTATGATACAAGTTGTATCGAAATATACTAATTTACATATAATTTAAATATAATAATATATAATATAAAATGTATCAAATCACGATAAGCTTATTAATAATAATAAAATGTTTGTATCATATATATCATGTATTATTATTTTATACATTTTATATATAATAGTATATTTCGTAACGAGCTAAAAAACATTTTTTCACGAGTTACGAACAACTTTTTTTTCCATATTTTTTCACGCTCCGCGTGCCTAAAAGTCCAATTTCCGCCACATTGTGATGAAAATAAGTATTCTTTATTCATAAAATAAAATAAACTTGGAATATTTCTAAGTTTAGAAGAGGCTTGGCGAAATAGATTGCTGACCGAAAATATTTCACCCATTTTTTAATAGAGGATTGACATGAAGATTGGTGGACAGTTCTTCGCAAAAGCTCACATTTTCAAACTTGCACAACGCTTACACCTGATTTCATAAACAATGTGATTTTTTCGTTGTAAAAATTTTTGAGGATCATTTTAAAAGCGGACATTAACTTTTTTTCAATGAATAAATGAATACATATACGGAGAGAAAAATTCAATAAAAATTACCAGAAAAAAAAACGTAAAAATTACGTTTCGAAAGGTAATCCGCGAGCGAAGTAAAATTCAATAAAAAGTGTGAGCCGGAACTGAAATTGTACGAATCGCCACGTAAATTCTACGATTTGTTCCGTAAAAATTAATCACCCGTCTAATGACTCAGCTGTGAAGACAACAAGTCGTTCCATAATTTTTTCACAACGATTGAGAAATTTTACGGAACGGAACGTAGAAATAACTCACCACACGGAGAGAAATGTTCAGTAAAAATTTCGGAGCTTACAATTCGCTCACGGATTACGGAATCGACTCAGAAAATTTAAGTGACGGTGTCGTAATTTTTCACAGGAGATTCAGATAAAAATTACGGAACGCTCTGGAAAAATTCCGTGATAGTTCCGTAAAATTTCCTAAAAGATACGTAATTTTTATTGAATATTTCTCTCCGTCCAGCTTCATAAAAATTGTTGAACGTTCAAGAATTTTTTATTTTGGAGGCATAATAAGTCGGAAAATTTCTTTAAGATTTTATTTCTTCGGTAAAAATTACGTGACAGTTTCGTACTTTGTTCGGTGATGAACCTGAAAATTCACTGAACGTTTCAGATTTCTTCTCTTCCATTCCTATAAAAATTTCCGGAAAACTATTCCCCATTGCGGATTACGTGAATTGTTCCGGAATTTTTACTGAATATTTCTCTCAGTATAGTGATAAAAAATAATACGCAAAAATGAGTAATCAATCATGATGCGCGTGAAGCGCGTCTTCTTCTATAACTGCAGAAAAAATCTATTGATGTTTCACAAATTCTTTTAACACCTTAAAGATTCTTTTGGAAAGATACCTAGGATTGATAAAAATTCCCCATTATTGAATGGAATGTTTGAACACGGGAATAATAACCACCATCCACCCTTAATCATAAAGCTCATTGTTCAAGAGTGATGCACAGTGTCGCCCTGTACGTGACGGGTAACGACGATTATGGACGCATGCTGCGTAGGTCATTAATGCGCTACCTCAACTTATCACTGATATTGGTTCTGCGGTCCATAAGTTCGGCCGTAAAACGCCGATTTCCAACGCTAGACCACGTCGTTGATTCGGGATTTATGACTGCGCTGGAGCTAGAACTGTTTCTATCGGTGCCTAGTGTAGAGTTTAATACCTATTGGATACCATGCACGTGGTTTATCAACTTACTCAAGGAGGCTCGACGGACGCACAGACTCCCAGATGCTCAGGGACTCAAGATTATCATGGAGGTAAGGAGAAAGAGCGAGTCAGTAGCGAAGCGGTAAACCGGATTAAGTCGACTTTGAGTATTGGCCAGTTTTTAACGAATATCTCTGAATCTAAAAGAGATATGAATTTTTTTGTCATAACCTTTTTTGTAGAGCCAATTGAGGGTCACAAAAAGGGTCATGAGAAAAATTTTGCCATCTCTCTTAGATTCACGGAAAAATGGCTTCTACTTTTTCAATTAAATGCCTATTACACCAAAAATCAATATTTGCAAATGGCTTGTAGCAGTATTCGTCGCTTTTCGATGCACAACATTTTTTTCGTTGCGAAAAGCATAGACCGGCATCAATCATTACTTTAGTAATATTATGAGAAGTTGCGCCTTTCAGTAATCTAGATTTATTTATCATAATTGAAATTGAAAAAATAATATAATAATTGGTAATTCAATTTCTCAACTATTGGTTGATAAAATAATTCAGTATTTAAAAATTTAAATTGATAGTTATTGTTATAATAAAAAAATTGGTGAATAATATTACCAATAGACTTACTCAAAATTTAGCTGTAATTCAAAATTTCGATTATGCCGATGTCTGGAGAAAAGTAGTTCAAAATCTATTCGAACTTGCAAATCTCGAGGCCACAGGCATAAACCATTATACGGCTTCTACCCTAAATTGACACCAAATATAATTTTGAAAATTTTCATAATCAGGAATTCAACGATTTCCGTTCAAAATGCGGACTTCTCTGGAGTTACGATTGGGTATCGATTCCCCTAGTTTACACTCAAGTAGTTACATTGGCGACATACAGTTTTTTCGTAGTAGCTCTGATAGGCAGACAATACATAGAAGGCGACAAGAAGCCCTTTCAAATGGAGCTCGACCAGTATTTACCAATCTTCACGATTCTCCAATTTTTCTTCTACATGGGATTATTAAAGGTACTAGATCTCCCTCGTCGATCCTTCAATCATCGCATAATGATCCTCTCACTTTGTCATTACGTCAGGTGGCAGAGCAACTGATAAACCCCTTTGGCGACGACGACGAGGACTTCGAGTTGAATTGGCTCATTGACAGGCACACGAAGGTCTCGTATCTCGGTGTTGATACTCTGATGAATCGGTGTCCACCTCTTGTCAAAGATATCTACTGGGACTCGGAGGATCTCATACTGCCTTATACTGAAGCCGCTGCTGCGTATAAACGCAAAACCTATCGTGGCAGTGTCGCCAATATGATGTTAGTACTAATGAATCATAGATGTACAGACAATACTACTTTCGGTTTTAACTTCTCACCATTGAAGATGCGAATGGGGAATTGAAGCTACCACGAATTGTCGTATTAAGGCCCGGGTGTACTATCTTTCGAACGTTATCTCGATGTTTTTTTTCATCTTTCGTCATCGGAAATTGTCAATCAAGTCCTGCATCATGCAGAAGTTTTAAAAAATTATGAATGAATAATAAAAAAAAAGTAGAAGAAATTCGTAATTTTTTCAAAGAGCATTTTTAATTTATATTCAGAATAAGTTGAATAACAAGAAATTGAAAAATGTACCTGATTTACGGTGACAAATGGCGGCCTGTCACCCAATATCATGCAGGGGGAAGACTGATTTCGTAAATCTTTTCCCACACTGCACAGAGACATTTATTACAGAAAAGGCTCTTTGAAAAAAGTTGTAATATTTTGAAGAATTTTTTAATCACACTTTTATCACATAAAAATGGCAGATGACTACATACCACTGTTTTGAAAATTGAGATACCTCGCTGTCACTTCCAATGAGGAGTTAGTGTTTTGTTATCCACCATGGAAAATGACAGCTAATAGATAATCTGCCACAGCGAATCAGATATTCGTAATTTCCACTTTTTTCAACTCATTCTGAATCTCAATTACAAACGCTTTTTGAAAAAGTTCAGATTTTTTTCTATTTTTTTTAAATCATTCTATCATAATTTTTGGGAATTTCTACACGATGTACCACTCAATGGACAATTTTGGATTACGAAAGATGAAAAAAATCCAGATAACATTCGAAATCGAATTTATCATCCTTACCAACTCTAATTCTTTTCCTCCGAAAGCACCGTCTGTGGATACATATTTATTGAAGGAAAAATACAGTATTTTTTCCAAGAAATAGAAGAAGAAATGTCTTCTATAAAAAATTATTCGGGTTAAAAAAATTGATCTGCCATCGCCGATTTGAGGCTAATCAATGATCCGTCGACAGATTTATCTCAATCCCGCACAATATCGCTCTAATTTTATTTCCAGGGTTCCCGAGGAGAAGCAAACAATGTTCCTGCCAGAAATAACCGAAGAGGAAGAGTCCGAGCAACAAACCCCCACCCCGAGAACATCCACCGCGAGCCTGACAACACATTCGAACGACAGTCCCCTCAATGGCAAGCGGTGAGTCCTTTCCCTCTGAGTAACTAAAAAAACTCATTACAGAAGTGATTGCAACACTTTGCACAATTGCCCAACACCTCACACCTCTTCTCAAATAATGAAAAAAATCATTCTGAAATCTATAAAATGCACGGACAGACAAGTTGGAGAATAGTTATGGAGAAAATCTCGGGAAATTTTATTGCACAAAAGGCAATCGTTGAGCGAAATGTATAGTTGAATAAAAATAGGATATTTCGATACGAGTACGGAAAAGTGTTTTTTGGCTCGTGGGATTAAACCTCCCACGAAAGATGGTTTTGCTTCCTACTTCATCCAAATCCCATCCAATCATTTCCTATGACGTCACAATGATGTGGAACGCCATATCAATTCCCTTCTTTAAGGGTGCCAAGTGAATTTGAAAAAAGATTCAAAAATAGTATATTTCAGCACGTGTGGGGCAATATCGTCTTTAACGTGTGTGGGGTTTACAGCATGAGCCGAAGGCGAGTGATGTAACCACACACGTTAAGGACGAAATTTCCCAACAAGTACTGAACAAAATTTTATGTCACGAAGTGACATACTACGGAGTGTGACTCGACGCTTCGCGTCTCGTGTCTGATTCAGCCGGTTTCAGGCTTCGTGACATAAAATTTTGTTCAGTACTTGTTGGGAAATTTCGTCCTTAACGTGTGTGGTTACATCACTCGCCTTCGGCTCATGCTGTAAACCCCACACACGTTAAAGACGAAATTGCCCCACACGTGCTGAAATATACTATTCTTTCCCTCCATCATTGGAGAAATATGTATTCATCCATCCGACGAAATTTCAAACCCGCAACCGGAACTAGACATCGAGAAAATAAATGCGGAAAATCCTCTATTTCGCGTGACGAACCTCGAGAAAGCATGGGATCAAATGGGTACGGCGGGTTGAAATATCTCTCTTATTCACCCCGGTACCCCATTGTTTTTTGTCGCCATCACATTGAACACATCATTCCCCATATCTTCAAATTTTTTCAAATTTTTCTTGAGTTCCTAGGGGGTTAAAACGTTCAATTTAATCAAAACGCCGTAAGAGGCCGTGTATAAGACTGATTTTGTTTATTTAATTTCTCGATATCCATAAGTTCTAAAATTTTAAAATTGTCACCGATGTTCACCATCTGTCTAATACTATTAATTTAAAAAATTATAACTTTGTTGGTGAATGTCAATTTTCAAGGTCATTGCCAAATTCACTTGGCACCCTTAATGTAAAAATGAATGCCGTAAGAAGGACAGCAATATATACCAGAAATTTGAAATGAAGAAATCGCTAAGAGCCGGATAGCTCAGTTGGGAGAACACCCTTTGCTCTTTTTTTTTTTTAAGCACATAAACTCCTAAATATGAAAATAATTCGAAAAATTATAACTACAAAATGATACACTGCTACGCACACATAATATGTTCTACAAAATACTGATTAAGCTCGAGAGTCAATAATACTTGACCAAAGTTTATGTACCAAACAACATATCTCTCATTATAATTTTTTTCAAGACTGGTTTTTGATATATGTAAATACTGTATATATGTAAATATTGTTGGACTCAAAATAAAAACATAGTCAAAAAAAAAAAAAAAAGGAGAACACCCGATGCATAATCGGAAGGTCCCGGGTTCAAATCCCGGTCTGGATTATCCATTTTTTCAATAAAAAATTTTCTGGTTATTCATATTGAGAATAATCCCGGTTCCCCTCCTACCTCATCCAAATCCAATTCAATCATTTCCTATGACGTGACAATGATGTGGAACGCTATGTAAATTCCCTTCTTCACTGTAAAACCATGTGATTGTTCGGGATTAAACCTGCCACGAGCCAAAAAACCAAGTATCGTCTCGAGACATCCTCCAAGTATCGTCTCATAATGTTTCCTCAAGTCTCTCGCGGCATCACTAGTTTTAACCCCCTGCAACAAGTCATCACGTGAATTCCTTTGCTCCAGGCAGATCATCGGTAATCCCTCAGCCTCGAAAGTCTCCCGAAATTACCCGGAGACAGTTATACCACTGGATCTCCACGAGTTTAACGAGATTGAAGGACAGTCTGTGTCGTCTGCCCAGAAGAAATCCGTGAAGTTGACGCCCAAGGTCGAGAGGAGAAGGTTCTTTCCATTTCCCCCGAAGGCGCAGCCCAACATTCGCCCTTGGCCGAGTGCCACAAACCTCGAAGAAAGTACTCTGACTTATGCGAGTACAAAGGAAAATGGAGACCCTGAGAATGCGCTTTCGTTATCGATTCAGAGTCCACCGCCTTACATCACCGTTCGCAGTGAGTCCCAGGATGATCCGAGTGAAGAGGCCCAGGGTTTCTTCAACTCCGCCTTCTCCCAGGAGCATCTTCCAGAGGTCAGCGAGGTCTCGTGCGGTATCAGAAGCGTCGGTGACTCCCCGAAGACGAGAACTGCCCCGAAGTTCCTGGTGAGACGACAGGGCTCCGTGGGCAGTGGCCCCAAGAAGAAGGGCATCAGGTGGAAACGACCGTTGGACACGCATGTCAGTAGGCGAAGAACTGTGGACTGCCTTCCTTCGGCTAAGAAGATCATCTCTCAAACCAGCAGTACGCCGGATTTGAAGAGTTTCACTGTTGGTGATCATAGAGACGTTTTTGTGCATAAACGCGCGGTCAGTGAGGAGAAGGAGTCGTAGTGGCTTTCCGTTGGCGGGTTGTTGGGGAACATGAAGGTCTTGGGAGGGGTAGTCACGAAAATTTCGCTATCTCCCTTAGATTCGGAAATATTCCTCAAAAACTCAACTGGGAGATAAGTCGACTTATCTCCGTTTACCACTTCGCTACTGAATTAATGAATCAACTTCGGACTCATCTATTCTTCGGCAAAAATGTTGAAAAAACTTTGTTGAAGACTTTATTACTAAAAAAATCTCCATTGATCATTTCGGCTAATTCTGATTTCCATCCTCGGAAATTGAAGATTTTTTTCTGAAGAATGAAAGGAATAATAACGAATCGCTTTGAATTATGAATCATATTGACGATTCAAGATCTTCAGATTGCGATGCTAATTAAAAATTCCTTTTGATTTGCCATCAATTGGGTCGTGTCTCACTTTCGCTTTTATTTTGAATGATTCAGACGCCGCCTGGGGGACTATTCGAATTACTTTTCTCAGATGTTGTACAATACCTTAATGAGAACACTTGCCTCAGGCTTTTCGCTCTCTTTTTTCATCGCGAGTGAAAAAGAATGGGGAATGAAGAGGGAATAGCGGACAACTTCCGCTGAATACGTGGATTTTACATTGGGTTTATGCCCCAAAACATGAAAGGAAATGTTCAAACAATTAGTGTTTTCAATCTGTTGAGATGAATTCAAGATGAGGTGTTTTGTCGACAATGAATATTGTTAATATTACCCAAGGAAATCTATTTTTTATATAATGATAATTATGATTCAGTATTATGTAATTGTATTCAATCCTAGATGGACTAATTTATCAGTCTCTCAAGAGGAAGGATTATTATGTAGTTAATTCGATTTAATTTAATTATTAAATATGTAAATATTGTAAATATGTCGATAGTGAATTAATGGAAAAATAGAAATTAAATGATGATGATGGATTGATCGTGTTGGTTACCATTTCAATTAAATAAATAAATTGATATTCAAAAAATAGTAATAGTATTCAGTTCGATTACATCAAGTGTACTTTTTAGAAATATGAAGTAAATTTATCGAAAACGTGGTCATACCTAATTCAGATTAATTATCGTTTTTTCGACGGGCACTACATGCTGTGATGAAATTCTTGTTTGATGCATCGATCTGAAACTAATCGAATTATTTTATGTGGATGGGGAAATGATTTCTAGTGAGTTTTGTTTTCAGTTGAAATTATTTTTTGGCTTCTTAACCATTCGTTACTCACATCCACGGCACGTATAACTTCTGAAAAAACTCATTTAAAAAATGTGCAAAAATTTGTATGTCTCACGGATTTTATCTAAAAGCACATTCTGCCATTTCTAACCACAGCGAAAGCCCATGATTAGAGAAAATTCACTCCTATGCTAACTGCAAATCCAAAACAGAGATCGGCAGGAAAATAATTTCCATTATTAATATTTCATTACCATATCAATGGTTAATTAAAAAAATTGAATTATGATTTTTTTCGTAATGAATAATAATACCAAATGTAGTTTTCATTGCGATACTAATGAGAAATGAAAGTGAAAAAAGAAACAAATAATTTATTAATCAATAATGGTACAAAATTTATTTTCATTATTATATCAATGGAAAATGAAAACCAGAAAGTCCCAATTTCTTTCGTCATGAATAATGAAACCAAATCAATTTTTCATTACCATAGTAATAGATACAAATCGTATCCAATAATATCCTTTAACGTCACAAGATGTGAAACACTATATAAACTCTCTTCTTCATTGAAAAAGGATTGCGGTATGACGGGCCTAACTGCCTAACTACTAATTTTTTGTTCATTGTCCATTTTAACTTACTACTTATTTTAGCTCTTCCCTAAAAATATTCAATTAATGAGATAGATTTTATTATTAATTAGATGAGTATTCAATAATCCCTACCCATAATTACTGATTAATTGAGTAATAGAAACTTTTAATTTCTGATTATCATCATAAATAATAACATTTCGATAATTATTGTCCATTGTCACAGTAATGAATATTCTGACGGGCAACATCACCCTGAATATTAACAGAATAACGAAAATATTTTTGTTTTCATTATTGTTTAGATGAATATTGAGAAATATTTTCGATTTGATTATTGATTGAATGACTATTCTAAAATATTCAAGTGTAATTCCTGATGAGATAAATAATAGTTTTTTATTGTTAATCATTACTCATTGATACGGTATTTGAAAAATGTAAATTTCTCAATACTCATTCATAATATAATGAAAAATATTTACACGTTATTAGCTATTAAATAAAAAATATGTATTTGCGGTGTAAATATTGTTGAAAATAATATTTGTGCCGATCTCTGATCCAAAATACGGCGCCGTGGCGTGCCGCGACTCTCATTGTGTCACGGAAATATTTCACACGGTGTTGCCACACTTGTGGCTGCCGGGAGATGAGCAAGTCCATCCTCCGAATGAATTGTGACAATGCCGCGCTCGGATTTACCGTACCGCGCGGCGCCGCAATGTGAGTAACGTCCGGCAGTTTCACGCGAGTAACGAAGGGTTAATTATTGAAAAGGGACTTACTGAGGTTTTGGGCATTGGTACGCCATCTGATTTGATATGGTACTCGTACCTAAGTGGTTGAATGTCTTTTCCGTATCTGTGAATCGAAAGTACCTCTAAAAATTCCACTTTTCAGACATCGTAATGAAAAAATTTTCAAGTGAAATTTTCGGAAAATACTTTTAAAGGATGATACAATCAAATAAAAATATTTTTGAAGGAACAATTTTTTTGACACATCTAGGTGTATGTAGGACCTCAAATCGTTTTACCGCTTCGCCACTCAAGTGACGTAAATACCTTCGGCTCATGGGGTTGCTATCGTAGAACGGAGCTCTCATATTATGCACATTCATTGGGTTCTTCATATCTGGGAGGAACGGTTGGGGATTTCTGAAGACAGATACTTTGGGAGGATCACTGTTCATTGTCTCTGGCTTTACGAATAATTCTATTTTCTGTGGCACATTTCTCTCGATGAAACTCTGAAGTTCGATATGATTCCATGATCATTAAGGGAAATGAAATTATCATCAATTTAAATTATCATTAATCATCGTTAATCATCATCATCATTATTAATTGAAATGAAAGAAGATGAATACACGGCAATGCAATTACCGAAATCCGAGGTTTGGTGCTTGCTGGAATAGTCACATAATATTGGCCCTCTGATTCTTTCGCACTCCTCACCCCCTCGTAACTACCTTCGAAATTCTTATAATCCCTTTGCAAAATTTCTGGTGTATTATCCAACATAACTATTTTTCCATTCTGCGAAAAATCCACCGAAAGTGATTACAATTGTTCCATTTTACACTGAAGTTCAAACTTCAGAAAGTTTTAATCATTTCAAAGATATTCGAGAAATTTTTAGAAATTTTATGAATCACAAGAAAAACTCTTGGGTTAAAAATTTTAGTTTGAAAATGCAAATGCGTTAGGTTTTGACATTATTGGGTTCTGGATGGATGCCGCGTTTGGTTTCAGCATTGCGCCGACGTTTCGCAAACTTTGCAGTCTGCATCTTCAGGGCTATGAGCTCCGATTCTGAGCTACGATGTCTGGGGGTTGTCCTTATATGTCTTCCCCTGTGATGGCGTGGGAAGGGAAAGGGGGGGGGGTCAGGCAACCGCATGTTTTTAATTGATCAGCTGGTCACAGGGGAAGACAGATAAGGACAACCCCCAGACATCGGAGCTAAGAAACGGAGCTCATAGCCCTGAAGATGCAGACGGCAAAGTTTGCGAAACGTCGGCGCAATGCTGAAACCAAACGCGGCATCCATCCGGAAGCCATAATAATGTCATTAATAAGGGCCGCGAAAGCCTCAAAACTAAGCGTTAGGTTTTTCTCTTTTTTTTATGCGTGGGCAAGCAAATGAACAAAAAATCATGCTTACATTTGTCCCTGAAGACAACTGTTCCTTCTCCTGATGGACGCCCTTCACCCCCTCATTCACCCCCTCGAAATGAACCTTATGGAGTTCATCCTTACTCCCGTCCACAATTTGCAGATTTCGCTTGAAGAAAATTTCACTCTTCCTAAGAATTTTAGCCCCCTCGTTGCAACTCCCGAACAATTGACTCTGATACTCTTCAACATCGTTCTCCAGGGAATCGTTATTGTTCTGCCTCGTGTCATCAGACCCCGAGGAGCTCCCCTGAAGTCGTTTCTTCAACACTTCAATACTCTCGCACAGTTTCACCGGCAAACTCATGACATTCCTCTTATCGAAATTGTTGAATGTGAGTTCGTTGGCCAAATTACTGATGTTCTGCTTCATCGTGGCGATCTTATCCTGAAGAGACTCTCTCTCCTTCACTCTATCGTTCAGACTCTCATTGAGAGTCTGATTGGAGGTGCGACAGGTGTTGAACTCCTCCCGAAGCTGCGAAATATTTTCCTCCAGTTTTTTCTTCTCCCTTCCGTACTTCGTGATTTCCTTCTGCAGGAATGCCAGCTGATTTAGGATGTCGCTCTCATGCTTGAGGTCTTTGATCTCCGATTGGACCTTCGCAGCATTCTCCTCGGCTTCTTTCAATTTCCCCTCGATTTCGGAGTTTTCGCGTTTTAGAGAGTTGAGTTTCTCGTCTTTCGATTTTAATTCGATCGCGGAACTCGTGAGTCTGCAGGAGAGAGAGTCCCTCTCAGTCTCTAGGTTTATTATCTGCTCGTTTTTCAGGGCCAACTCGCTGGTCAGGTTGTGGATTGTGTTTGTTAGATTGTAGTGTTCTTTATGAAGTTCTATGAATCTGGGAAATTGTAAAATACGGCATTTCATCATGCTGGGGGACAAGTGAAATTTTAAAGCGAGAAGTCAGGAGCATGTGGCGAAAAGCGATGTTTAACCCTAGTCTGGTCACCAAACGCGACCCTGCGACTCGGATCACCTCCGCGGGGATTCCCCGGCGTGATATTTAGGCTCTGGCGTTGCTGAATGCACTCTACACTGGCCGGGCGCATTTACCGAGGTTCCGACAACGTCGCGTCATGGACAATTTCATTTAAGGGGTAACGGAACCGACCACAAAAAGAGATTTATCAAAAACAAATTTTCTTGGATTCTATGCAATGAGAATCAATGGAACTTTTTCCCCGTATTGAGAGTAGCGGAACGCATCGCTCTCTTCTCATTCTGTTCTTATTTATGCAAACAAAATTGCAAATTATTTAACGGCAAGGACCAGGGCAAGGCCGACGCCATTTTATTTGTAGGAATCTGCCAAGTCATGGTAGAAAAACCAATTTTTTGTAGATTTTTCTTACCCGATGGCTATTTTCATGAGAAGTGAGCGATCGAGTGAGGTCCAAGACAGAGATTTTGAGTACAAAAACGTATTTTTGTTGCATATTTTTCGTAAAAACTTGTTTATCATGATCGGGTGGTATCCAGGAGGTAACGTGTCCTTTACAGGGTACCAATTCTAAGAGGGAAGTACTTTTACGAGTTAGAGGATGATGTAGAATGTTTCCATACCATTATTAGTCATTTATATCTATTGAATTCTATTTTATGGGCTTTTGTACTTTTCACGTACAAAATCCAAAAAACCAACCGCAATGCCGATAGGGGGGACCCCTAACCTCTGCGTGCGACGGGTTCCGTTACCCCTTAAGAGGTAATGGAACTTACCATCAGAGTAGAAACTGAATTTCAAGTTTTTTCGTCGTCAGATGACTATTTAGCAAAACCCAAATTCTTACATCATCAATAATTTTGGTATCTATAGTGTAACAATTTGGATTTTGCTGAATAGTCGTCTGACGACGAAAAAACTTGGGATCTCATTTCTACTCTGATGGTAAGTTCCACTGCTTCTTAACTTGAGTTGTCTTTTTTTTTTAAGCACAATGTAAACACAATACAAATTCAAATAAACAAATTACAGGATAAATAAAATCATTCCAACATTTCCATTCTACTCAATGGAATATTATTTCTCTAATCAGTACTCCCAATAATTAAAAAAAACTTAATAAGCAAAAATTAATAAAAAAAATAGTTAATAAAAAAAAATTTTGTGCTTGATTTGCGTCAAACAATCGTACTTTCGACTGTTTCATTTTCTCCCACTCTCCCCTAACTCCAATAGAATTTAATCACTAGAACATGGAGATTTACTTTAATTCCATTTTGCTCTTAGATTTCTTCAACTCCTCGACGATCGAAGAATTCTCATGAAATTTGTGTTGAATCTCTCGCAACTGCCTCAACTCCTCGGACTGAATCTCAATAATCCTCTGACACTCTTCATAACGATTGAGGTACAGATTCGCTTCGTTCGTCCTTTTGACAATCTGGTTCTTGAGTTCCTGCATTGGTTCCATGAGTTCATTTTTCAACTGCTCAATTTCATCTCGTCTGGGACCAGGGCTGTCCCCTCCACCGGATCGGAGGCCTGAAAACCAATGCAATAGCATCCAACCAATGCATTTTATTGTATGTGGAGAGATGAGTTATTTACATTCGAAAGCTTCCGAAAATTCATTGAATTTGTCCACGGATTTCCTCAGATAAAACGACAAAGCTCTGTCTATATTCTCATCCTCGACGTTCCGATCTGCCATTGATTTTTCGTGGAGGATTTTATCTTCAAATCCTTTCAACATCGACGACATTTTATCTTTATACTCGTCCAGTTTCTTATTCTTGCTCCTCGACTCAATCTTCAGATTTTCAATGATTTGCTTCAATTCGTTCTAGTTTCAGCAAGAAAAAAAAAATTTATAGAAATGGAGAAAAGGAGAAAATCTCCGAAAATATTTTCAATGTATTTCTAGGGACCTCCAAGTTGCTGGTGAGGAGTGCTGTGGCGGCAAGGAGAGGAGACGACAGTGATTTTTTTTGCAATTGCTTTTGATTTTCTACTTTTTGTTGTAGACATCGAGGGAAAGATAATGGGCGAATGCTCTATTAACCGATGGAACTTATGATTATGACTTTAATATTTGCTTAAGGATGTTTAACCCATCAAGTGAGCAACTCAGTGTAAAAAAAATTGACTAAATAAATCATTCATGTAACAAATTATTTTTCTCATCAAATTAGAAGTGTTAAGGCGTACTGCTCCGGTCTCAAGAACAATAACTAAAGAAAATGTTCATAGATAATGGAGGACTTGTGACTGCAGTGGTAACAGTCAAATTTTGATCGGGCAACATCGCACGCTTCGGCTAGTCGTGGGGTTGCAACAGTGAGACGAATGTTTGTGTGTGTTATACGTGTCCATATGCTTCCAGCACTCAATTATCGTCACCGACTTTACCGACCTCGATCAGCTGTTGTGCGGTGTTGTCGCGTTGCTCGACTCGTAATGGCGGTCAAATTTGTTTTAGAGGAATTCGAAAATCAATCGAAGATATCACGCCTATATCCCGCTCCCTTACTTGTTCTCGCCGGCAATAGATTCTCCATAGTCTAAAGTAAATGACTTGTGATTTTTTTTTAATATCTTGAGTGTCTAACCCATGCAACATCGAGATCAAAGCTCGCACGGTCACGTTTCTTCCCTGAGCGTAATGTTACAAGAAGTGATTTTCAGAAATTAATTTCTCACTAGGATGCCCCGATGGGAGGATTAAGATTATTACTAACGTGCGGCTCAAATATGAACCTGACATGTGAGACAATATCGAAATTATTGAGAATGTGGGCTTTGGCTAAACATCCTTAATATGGCATTGTGTCTTTGTTATGTTAACTTTGAGGGCCCAGGTGGCATAGAATTTATGATCTAATGATTGACAATTGAGACACAATGAAAGTAATTGATTTCACCTCTCGTTCCTGATGTTTGTTGCACATTCGATCGATCAAGTGCGATAATTTAGCAATTTCCTCCTCATGGTCTAAACACTGCAGGTGCCAGTTCTTCTCGGATTCTATCAATTCCTTTCTCTCTCGAAGAATTTTTTCCATTCCCTTTTCACTTGGTTCTACTCCAAAGCTCTTCAGTGATCGCAGAAATTCTTTGAGTTTATTCTAAATCAAAGAAATCGGATGAATGAGCATTGCGTTCCCTTCAGAGAGAATTGATTCACGTACGTTCAAATCGTCTCTCTCAGCCCGCACTTGGTCGTTATTTTCCCTCTGGCGCAATTTATTTATTTCCTTCGACAGTTCGAGGCACTGATCCCGCTTTTCATCCAGTTTAGTTTTCAACTGATCGATCAAGTTCTTCCCATTCGCTATCTTTGAGTTGGACGAATTATCACAGAGCAATGAAGATGTAATGAATACACTAAGAAAATAGTAGGGGAGNGGTTGGGCTCATTGTACCTGTGCTAACATTGATGAAAATGCAGGACCCACGTACTTTTTTTGTGACGAGTGCAAAGAATCAGACTAAAACTTTATTATTTATTACTAACCTCATATTTTATATTTGTTATTATTCATTATTGTTATTCATCATCATTGTTATTATTTATTTTTGTTATTAATCATCACTGTTATTATTTATTATTTTTATTAATCATCACTGTTATTATTAACTTCCCGGAATATGGAAGTTATTTATTATTGTTATTAATCATCATTGTTCTTATTCATCATCATTCCATCCAATTTCACCAAGACTTTTGATTAGAACGTGGACATTTTCGTATTCATTAGAATGAAGTTATCTTACCATGATGTTGTTCTCAATTTTCATTAATGGCAGTATACTTTTCACGTTCACCTCTAATAATAAATTATAAAAGTCAATTACGAAGTGAAAAAGGTGTCATTATTGAAAGAAAAAACTTTCCTGCGGGGTTTAACTGGTTCAAAAATAGTATCTGGCGTCTAACTTCATCACCCACCGCCCACCACCTCCTCCTCCATCACTCTCACCCCTCCTATTCAGTGATGAATTTTGGAAAATTTTATTCGTGAGAAAAAAAAACTTTTTTTAGGGGTCCATTTTGCCCCCAGGGATCCGTTTTGCCCCCCGGTCCGTTTTGCCCTCTTGGTCCGTTTTGCCCCCCCACCCCCTATATTTCGTAACGAGTGCAAAAAAGTGTTTTTTTGGCGAGTGGGAGGTTTATATCACGAGCCGAAGGCGAGTGATATAATCCCACGAGCTAAAAAACATTTTTTCACGAGTTACGAACAATATTTTTCATCACAATGTGGCGGAAATTGGACTTTTAGGCACGCGGAGCGTGCCGAAAAGTTCACTTTTCGTCACAGCGTGATGAAATAAATACTTTTGCCAAGTGAATTTGCTAACTCCACGAAAATACACACATTTCAGATGCAAATATTTATATACATTTACTTGTGGCAAGTAAATTTACTTGGCAGAAGTAATTTTTTTTCTCAGTGTAGTGATTCCAACAAAAAAATTGATAAAATACCTTTTTGTACTCCTCGATCGCTGAATTACGCTCTGTCATCATTTCCAGTTGTCGTTGCATGCTCTGTGATGGGTGAAAAGGTAATATGAGTACAAAGAATGAATATTTTTTTGGAATCCATGTCTTTTCAACTAGGCGACATTTCAACTACGACATTTCAACTGCTCAGAATCTGCGCGAAATCGCTCAATGCATTTCAATATAAAATGAAAAATAGCCGTTGAAAAAAAAGCAGGGAACTCCTTAAAAACGAAAACTATTAATACTAAATTATTGATCTCTTGTAATTGTTAATATAAAAACAAATTGAATCTTTGTATCATATTAATCATTAATGTATTAATGATAAAACAGACCAGAAAACCGTGGTTCAGTGGTTAAATTGAGTTGCATTACGTTTTCTGTCGAACAGCAAAGAATAAAAAAAATTAAAATTGAAAAAATTTCGGCTAATCCCTAAAAATATAGTAATTCCACAAAAACCAGTTGATATGTCGCAGTTGAAAATTTCAGTTGAAATGTCGCCTAGTTGAAAAGACGTGCCACCATTTTTTTGCCAATGAAACACTGACAAAATAGTACTTTGGTCATTAGGCCGAAAAGTGATTTTTCCTTTACTCTCGTAAAATTTACGTAAAGTGCCACTTTTTTTTAAATCGTTATACACTGATAGAATGATTCATTTATTCCAACCGAGATTCGTTAACTATTAACGAATGGTAGAGTTGAATATGACCAAATGAATATTCGTTAATAGTTAACGGGCCTTTCGAGTCGGGGGCGAAAGTAGCAATCATATAGAACAAACAATATTTTTTAAGGTCCAAAATTTTTTACGGCCGGAATGACAAAATTGACTTTACACACGACCTTGAATCGGATGTTTTACGGATACGTGCGAAAAAGTGAAACTTTGTGCACTAGTAACACAAAATACTATTTCCGTATTGCTCTTCACTTTCAATCCCCTCGTTCGGGTAGTGGCATTGGCCCCTCTCCAAACTGGTAAAGAGGGCGTCCATAAATCACGTGAGCCAATTTTGGCTCATTTCTGACCCCCTCCCCCCCTGGTGATCAATCGTAACATTTCATTGACCCCCCCCCTCCGGCATGTTATCACGTGTTTTTTTTCAAAGCTCAGTATGAAAAATGATCGCTTTTGAAAACAAAAATTTTTTTTTTGTTAAAAAGAACTCTTTTATACCCGTCTAATGAACGAAAAGTAATTTTATTCCAGAAACAAATCGTTAAAGTATATGAGTCATAGTTTCATCTCTTAAATATATTAGTTTCAATAGTATAATGTTTCGATATTTGGTATCCATCACTCTGCAAATAGTTCCTCTTTGGAAACAGCCTTTTCTATCGTGTCTCTTTGGGAAAAGTCTTCTCTATATTAGCACGTTTCGTACCGAGAGACTCTGAATTCATGAGTCGTCACCAATCCAAGGATTGTTAAAACATTGTTTAACACTAACAAACACTCTACTGTCAGGGTTCAACAAAAAATACACGTGATATCCCCCAAG